TGGATGGGTGAGGAAAGGAAGGAGTAGCAGAGCATGCTCCAAGATTGGGGAAGCAGCCAGGCTGCAACAGAGCCAGGAAGCACTTGTGGGTACAAGAATGGAGCGGGTAGGTTGTGACCGACGTGAAATGCCAAGCTAAATTATTCTCCAAATGACGAGGAATCATCAAAGGTTTTAGAACAGGAAAACGATGTGTTGGAAGCAGTGTTCTTGGCAGATGAATCTGGTGCCCATACATGCTTTGAGGTGGGAGAAGAACACGGAGGGGACCCAATCAACAGACCAGATGTGAGAGCAAGAGCCTGGACTGGGGAGGATGGCAGTGAGAACATAAAGAAGCAAATCCCAGAGGCAGTTTTTTTAAAAGCACAGGACTTGAATTTGAGTCTGGAAGCATCAAAGAGACTCTGAGGTGCCTTGGAGCCTGCTGGTGCAGAAATGAGACAGTCACCGAGGGAAGCTTGTCGGGGGGAGGACATGATGAATTCATGGGCATCTTAGAGAGCCTTTACACAGTAAATCCTTCGCAGTGGTTACCTCTGCAGGTGGGGTTGGAGGGGCAGGCAAGGTGGCTTTCACATCTTATGATATATAATCTCTTTTAATGGAGGGATTTTGTGTAATTTTTACTTCCTTTTTTGTACTTTTTGGAATTTTTCAAATAATTATTTTCATTCCATGCAGACTCCCAGTCTCGTTAACCCTTTGTAAACCATCCCTCCTCATCTGTTCCCTCCTCCTTCACTCCCCCTCCCCCCACAGTGAAAGGAAAAGAAGGAATGGTTTGCAGGGTCTGCTGGGGTCTGAAAAACACTTCATACAGGTTTAGTCTCAGCTCCTGAGTCTGTGGTTTTCCCATGGTGGTGGTGGCGGTCTCCCCACTGCCCCTCCTTCCCTCCTTCTCTTCCCACTGCCCCCGCCCCCTGCAGGGCCTGTCCTCAAAGACTCAACCATCATCAGACCCCCCTCTTTGAAGCCAGATTGCAGTGCTGGGCTTGGAAAGACTGACCTTGGGGTTTTTATAGCTGAGATCAGCCCAGCCCATAAACTACAGGCGGCAGGACAGACCATGGCAGAACACAGGCTCTGATGTCAGAGGCATCTGCGTCCAAATCCAGCTCTGCCACAGTTACCTAACCTCTCCATGTCAATTTTCTCATCTTGAAAATTGGAGATAATAACAGTATTTATCTGCTAGAAGTATTAAGTGGATTAAATGATGATGAAAGGCATTTAATAAGCGTGCTCTATCATTAGTGTTATTAAGAACAATAAAATAATAAATCTTTATGACCAAACTTTGTTGCTTAGAGGCAAAAATAACCTTTAATACACTTCTATCTTGGTTCCGACTGGTGGCATTTCTTCGCATCTCTGTCTTTCCCTTTAACTGGAATTTTTTCCTAGACCAACAAAGAGCTAAGAGAAGAGCCGAATCAGGGCCTGAGTCGCTGCTTTCTCATTCATGGCGGCCTATTCTGCCACTTACAGTTTCTGTGACATTTGACAGATTTCTTAACAGATTTCTTAATCTCATGAACCTCAATTCCCTCATCTATAAAACGGGTGTAATCATACTGACCTCACACTCTGTATCAAAAAGTTAGACAGTTCCTGGCACACAGCCGGCTTTCAGTACATGATGGTCCTCCATCGGGGTTCCAGGGAGGGGCCCGCTCTTTCCTGCCTGTATCCTAACCCCCAGACCCTGCATAATCTCCTTTGTGTTCATCCCTGATGGTTTTGGGTAAGCTCCTGAGGGCAGAGGCAAGCCAAGGCCTCCTGAATTGTAAGGAGCAGTCTTCCTCCTGGACCTGGCTCCAGGCCAGCCTCCTGGGGCAGCTGGGGAAGGAGGAGAAAATTGTCAACCATCTAAAGGTCCAGAACCAGATGCACAAACTCAATAGCCTCTCTTTCATCCTCTCTTCTCTCTGCTTTCCAAACCACAGCCCTGAGGCTGCTCAAAAAGAACGGGCTTTTCCTATTTGGCCGTGGCCTAGAAGAAAAAGTTGCCCCATTGACTCAGGGTGCATTTGGCTTGGTCAGATGGGATGTGTCAGACCCAATCACCTGGTCCCCATGCTCCAGGTCCCTTCCCTCTCCCATGCAAAGGCCTCTGGACAAAGGCAAAAGCCTCCCCTCCGCTACCACCTGCCACCAGAGTCCATCCATCGCCCCTTGATCCAATCGCCAACTACCTGGCTCTCCATCGGCCCCGGGGACCAGAGGCCCAGGAGTGCAGCCCTCACTGTTCTCCCTTCCCAAAAGGGTCTTTAGGACAGTCTCTATTCTGGGCTAAGTCCAATGCCAGGTGATGGATCTAAATAGGTGGCTCTCAGCCTTCTCTCTCCTTAGCCCCATCCCACCCCACCCCCAGCTCCTCCAATCAGAGGAAACAGTGAAGGAGACAGGAAACACATCTCAGACAGCCAGGAAAGGGAGAGACAGAGCAGCTGTCATAGAGCATCTCTCTGGGCTGCTGGGTGAGGCTGAGCAGGAGGGAGGAGGGAGGATGGGAAAGCCAGGCTGGGGGGAGGTTAGGGTGGAGGGGGACTGAGAGGGACACACTGGATCACAGACCTGGAGGCCCAGACAGACGGAGAGACCAGCCTGGGCAGTGAGAGCTCTAGGAGCCTGCAGAGCCTTTTGGTTTCTGGGGTCCCGGAGGGCCTCACCCTCTGCCAGGGTCATGGAACCACAATGGCTCATGTTCCCATCTTGAGACCTACGAAGAGGAACTAAGCTCTTTTCCAGAGATGGGTAGAAAGAGCTCTCCTGAGCCAGGGCGTTCTGCTCTGCGTTTGTCTGACTACCCTTCTCAAGATTCGGGGAGTTTTATCTGTCTCCCTGTTTCTGCATCTTTGTCTATCTTGTCTTTTCTCTCTCTCTCTCTCTCTCTGATCCCATCTCTGTCTCAGATCATTTCTTGGGGACTCTGCCTCAGGGCTCCCACTCCCCCGTGTGTAGGAAACCTGACCTTCATCATCTGTTTTTTATATTTTGGAAACGTCCACTTAACTTCCTACCTGAGGGGAGTGGGGGTTGAGGAGCAGGCTGCCTGGCTCCACCCCTTTCCCTGCCCCCTCCTTTCTGAATCCGATCCTTCCCCCAGCTTCTTGCCCCCAGAGCTCTCAGCCGAGGCCTTCCCTGCTCTGGGTCACTGTGGCATCAGGAATCAGGTCCTGATTCATGATCTTCCCTCCACAGCTCACCGCAGGGTGGGGAAGGCAGTGAGGCCTCTTCTGATCCACTGTTGCTTTGCTGATTTGGGAAAACGTAAAAATTCCAGGCACAGAGAGAGCCCGGTGGAAACCAAGATGGAAAGTAATGTCATTTCTGCCTCCAGGCAGCATTACAGCCAACTGGGTTGCCTAACATGTCATCACAGGTGTTTATTTAATGTTATTGTTAATACTAGCAATAGATTACACATACTGAGGGTGTGTCCTGTGCCGGGCACTTTATATAACTTTGCATATCATCCACTCAACAGCTTTATATGGTAGGTACTATTATTATCTCCCATCTTCTTAATGAGAAAACGAACACTACTTGCCCAACATAACTCAGCTAATAAGATCTGAACCCAGGTTTCTCTGGCTCCAAGTTTACTCCAAGTTTTGCAAGACCTGAGAAGTTTTGGACATTTCTTTTTAAAGGAAATAAATCCACAGAACTCAGAATAAACCTCCCAGGTCCCAGGGAGCCAGGCACCCCAGTTGGAGAGGCATTGTTTGGAGCTCACTACTTCCTGGGGGACCTTGAAGAAGCAACCAGCAAAGAGTGTGTGGAAAGGCTAGAAGAGGGCACTTCGGGAAGGAAGAAGTGGGAGGGCAACATAAAAAGGAATGCAAACGATGGCTGTGAGTCAGGAGGCAGTGCAAGTACCAGTCTTCGAGAGTCTGGCTCTGTGCAGGGAAATGAGAGGGTGGAGGGCAGGGCCCACTCACAGAGGCCTGAGGCTCAGTTCAGTTCATGCTCCAGGTTACTGAGCTGGAGAGTAATACCGTCTGCCCTCCACACCTGCGGGTTCAGCACCCGCAGATTCAAACAATCATGGACAGAAAATAGTTGGAGTGAAAACATTACATTGTTGCTGACGTGTACTGTGTAGTTAGGCCTGCGATAGTTGTGTCTGTATTGAACATGCAGACTTTTTTTTCATTCTTCCCTAAACAATACAGTGTATCAACTACTTATATAACATTTACATTATATTAGATATGATAAGTACTCTAGAGATGATTTAATGTATATGGGAGAATGTGCATAGATTACACGCAAATACTGTCCATTTTACATAAGGGACTTGGGCATCCTCAGACTTTGCTATTCACGGATTCCTAGAACCAATCCCCCCATGAATACCAAGGGATGACTGTTCTCCAAAAGAAGTGTTTGAGACCTAGGCTGGAGGTAAAAGGTAGACAATTAAGAGTGCTGATGAGCCCGGCCAGTGTGGATCAGTGTTTGAGCGTCGACCCATGAACCAAGAGGTACCCAGTTCCATTCCCTGGTCAGGGCACTTACCCAGGTTTCAGGTTCAATCCCCAGTAGGGGGCATACAGGAGGTATCGGATCCACATCTCTCATTGGAAGTTTCTTTTTCTCTATCCCTCTCCCTTCCTCTCTCTCTAAAATAAAATTTTAAAAAATTAAAAAGAGGGCTGCTGAAAGGTTGGTATTACAATCCAGGCAGCGTAGGATGATCTGACAAAACATGTAGAAATTGTTTATCTAAAAGACATTTCCAAAGAAATTTAGCATTTTGGAGCCATCTGCTCCTTCCCAAGGATTGCTATCTAAGTTAGCCTTTGCGCGGGGTGGGGTGTGGTAAGCAGAGGGAGGAGCAGGGAAAGCTCATGCGTCTGCAGCTCTGAGCCTTCGCATTGCAGACAGACCCTCTGTCGGAGGGCTGCTGGGCCCTGAGTGAGAGCACTCAGCAGTCTGAGCTGGACACTGGCCTGAGGACTTTGGTCTGGGAGGCCCAGGATACTGACCTGCCAGTTCTTTGGGGTGGAGCAGGTGGACAGATTGTAGACCTGGAGCCTGAAGCAGCGGTTTTTGTGTCTTTTTCAATTCTTTCAAAGGATGATTCCTCTCCCTGGGTGGCAAAAAAAAAAAAAAAAAAAAAAAAAAAAAAGCAAACGAGCAAAATTTGGTTAAGAACTCAAGAACTGCCAATTCAGAAACTCTAATCTGTTCAGAAAGTTAAGTCCTTTTTTTCAGAGGCCAAAAACCTATTTCCATCAAAGATTGTATATGTCTGTGTGTCTGAGAGCTGGTGAGGGCGACAGAGTGAGTGTGAGAAGGAAAGAGTTGAAATGCCTTTGTTCCTGCGTGCGAGGCTGCTGCTGCGGGGCTTACGTGTGCGCACTGTACGTACATTTGTGCCTGTTTCTCAGGCCCCTGTGTGCATTGAACTTTCAAACCATAACAGAAACACTGAAGCTTGGCAAAGAATAATTATCTAATTTTGGAACATGTTATTATAATACCTACATGATGTGTAACGAACTTAACAATGTTCGCGTTATATTCACCAACTCTGAGCTACAGGCCCACGATGCCAAGTCCTACCCACTGCAGAGGCTTCTCTCTCCAAGACCCAAGAGCAACGCAGGCCCTATCGAAAGCTCTGGAAGGAATATTGTCCCCCACAACGGCCCCCTCATGGATCCAAAGGGGGGCAGAGCCTGTCTTGGGATAGCAACTCTGTTCCTCCCAGAATCCCCCTTCCTCCCCAGTAGGGGACCCTCCGGAACTGGTAAGGAAAAGCCATATTGGGGTCACAGAGGCTGATAAGCTTTCCCTGACTCAGCTGTGGGCCAGGAGGCCTCCTGATCAGCCAGGCTCTCTCCTCTTCCCCAGGGGGCTGGATTGAATTGAAGCTGAGTGTGAGGGGAATGTTTGCTGTTTGCTGCTGCTCCCTGCTGACTTTAGCCAGTAGCTCTGTTTACAAACCCAGGTTGGTTTTCCCAGCACAGTTAATTAGACCAGAGACATCTGGTGTGAGGGCTGGGGAGGGCATCTGCTCAGAGCCTCCCGCGCCCCCCCCCCCACACACACACACACCCAGCAGCCATGGGCCAGTGCAGGGCAGAACAGCTAAACTGAACCAGACAGGACTCGAGCAAACCCAAGGTTCTCAGGGGAATCGTGGCTTCTCGCATTCTGCCTCCCCCAGGCTTGCTAAGTTAGATTGGACCCCAGCCCTCTGAGTCTTTGGGACCCCAGGAATCGGGGTTGAGTGCCCCAACCTCGGTGGGATCACAGGCTGGAGACCAAGGACTCAGTTCTCTCCTCTGCCCTTCCATGTCCAAGAATCTCTGTCCTCTCTCTCATGACAGTAACTCTGTGCTCTGTAGGAACACCAGATTTCTTTGGCCCCCCTGTAGGAAAATATCCCCTCCCCGACACCCCCTTAAGGAGGAGGCCCTGGGCCCTCCTCCCCCTCCCTGACACCTCTCCAGGCAATCTCTGACACTGCGGGGGAGGAATGTGATTGATCAGTCCGGGACCAGAGGGAGGCAGGAAGGTGCCCAGGAAGGTGAGAGGAGCTGGGGTGGACAGTTCCAGGGCGATGGGGAGGTGGAGGGCCGGGAGGGGGAGGGGCAGCGGCTTATCTCTCCCAGGAGGGGGGAGTTCACTCCAAACAGCTAATGCACTGGCGTGTGAAAGCCCCTCAATTAGCACTAATGATGCAATCAGGGAGGGAGGAGGAGGGACCAGAGGTTCTGGTGGAGCCAGCACCAACTTACACAGTACACACTCCCTGCCTTCGACACAGTGGCCCCTGCAGACACACCAACGCACCCACTCCACAGACGGTATGGACCACGCACGTCCGTGGGTAAAAACGCACTCTTTGCAGAAACCACTAGCATGCATTTGGTTCGTGATCCGCTGCGGACCGCGTCTGAATGCAGGGATCCCCGAGGGGAGAAGGGGTTAGGGACAAGGAGAAATCGGAAAGACTTGTGAGAGGAGGTTGAGCAGTGCGTCTCCGAAAACATGATTATTCCTCTGATCTCAGAGTTCCCGTCCCACGCGCGCTCGCAGGTGCAAGCCTCTCTGCGTCCTCCCCCCAACACCCCTCCCTCGAATCCGGGATTTGGGCCAGGAGCCGTCACCCCCAGCCTCACCCGAGGGAGGCGGGACCCCCGGGAATTTCCTGCGCCCCGTCCGACCTCCGGCCCCGGGTCCCGGGAAGGGCGCTCTGGGGTCACACGGATCTCCACACCGACCCCAGCTGCTCGTCCTCTCCGCGAAGTCCGTTACCCGCGGCCTCGCCCCTTTCCTGCTCTCCCACCCCGCCCCGCCGGCTCCGTTATCCGCCTCCCGGTCCCGTTATCCCGCAGCCACGGCCCCGTTATCCGCCCTGGCGCTGGGCCGGGAGCCCTCGCGCGTCGCGGGGCCGCCGCGGGCCCCTCCCCCGCTCCCCCGCCGGAGTCCGGGGGCCGCGCGCTGGGCAGGGCCGGGCCGCCTCCGCGCCGCTTCCCAGGCCCGGACGGCCGCGGGAGGAGGTCCTGCTGTCAGTCAGCGGGGAAGGCCGGGCCGGGAGGCCGGAGGAGGCGGCGCCGAGGACGCTCGGCCCGGAGCGGGAGGCGGAGGCGCAGGCGGAGGGGCGGAGGCGGGGGCGGCTCCGGGCCTTATAAGCGGCGGGGGCAGGGCGGGCGGGAGGCAAGTGTCAGGCCGATGTGCCGCCCGCGAGGGGCCGGGGCCGGGGTCGGGGCCGCCGGGGCCATGCGCACGAGCTGGGCCGGGGGCCGGCGGGGCGCGCAGCGGAGCCGCCTCGGAGCCTGAGCCTCCCGGGCCGGGCCGGGGAGCGCGCGGGGCGGCCGGCCGGGGGGAGGGGAGCGATGCGGCGCCGGCGGGCGGCGGTGGCCGCGGGTTTCTGCGCCTCCTTCCTGCTGGGCTCCGTCCTCAACGTGCTCTTCGCCCCGGGCTCGGAGCCCCCGCGGCCCGGCCAGTCCCCCGGGCCCTCGCCAGCCCCCGGCCCGGGCCGTCGCGGGGGCCGCGGGGAACTGGCCCGGCAGATCCGAGCGCGCTACGAGGAGGTGCAGCGCTATTCCCGCGGGGGCCCCGCGCCCGGGGCGGGCCGGCCGGAGCGGCGGCGCTTGATGGACCTGGCGCGGGGCGGGCCGGGCCTGCAGCGTCCCCGGCCCCCGGGGGCCCGGCCTCCGCCCGACGGCTCCCCGAGCTGGCCCCCGGCTCCCGGCCCCGGCTCCCCTGGCTCCCCCGGCCCGGGCCCGCGCCTGGGCTGCGCCGCGCTCCGCAACGTGTCCGGCGCCCAGTACGTGGGCTCGGGCTACACCAAGGCCGTGTACCGGGTCCGCCTGCCCGGCGGCGCCGCGGTGGCGCTCAAGGCGGTGGACTTCAGCGGCCACGACCTGGGCAGTTGCGTGCGGGAGTTCGGGGCGCGGAGGGGCTGCTATCGGCTGGCGGCCCACAAGCTGCTCAAGGAGATGGTGCTGCTGGAGCGGCTGCGGCACCCCAACGTGCTGCAGGTACGAGGGCGGGCGCGCGGGGGTGGGGGGGGGACGGTGCTGGCTGGACGTGTCAGGCGCGGGCGCTCGGCTGGAAGGGAACCCTTGGTTTTGTAGAAGAAAGACACGGAGCCCCGATCGCTGTGCCCACGTTAAGCCAGGGGCAGAACCTGGACCGCGGCCGCTTCCCAGGACACACCCCAGGTCCCAGTCCTGGGTGGGGGTCCCCTGGCGGAGGGACTCCTGCGTTTCTCCACTTCCAGGCTCTACTTCTTGAAGACAGAGGCCAGTGCAGAGGCCCCCAAGCTTGGGGGGAGGGCCCCAAACTTGAGGTGGAGGTCCGGGAGCTCTTAGGGCCCGGCTCTGACTGGAGCTAGAGTGTTGAGCACCAGGAAAATGACCCCAAGCCAGGACACGGGACAGCAGTCATCCCTGACTCAGGATCCCAACGGCGGTAATAGGGTCCCCTTTCTTGATGGAATCTGAACCCCACTTCTCTCACGTTCCAAACAGTGGCTTTGAAGATGGGGTGGGACAGCAATGGGGTTGGGTAGGGCTAGAAAGAGCCCTTATGTCCAGCTTGATTCTCAGAGACGATCCCCACCGTTTTCCCCATCCAGAAACCACTGGAGGGACTTGAGGGGATTGGATAGTAGGCCAGAAAGTGCACAGCCCTTCCCCAAAGTGGCCCTGGGATTCTCCAGCCCTTAAAGTGGGCCCTTGAACCATCGGAGAAGCCTCAAGGTCTTAGCTCAGTGCTCAGGGGACAGGCTGAGGGCCAGAAGGTCTGAGGGTCACATTATCTGAGCAAACATGGCTAAGAGGCTGAAAGATGGAAAAGGCTAGATGCCCAGGTTTCTATTAAATGGGACTCTGTCTCCTGTTCACTGGGGCGGGGGGTGAGATGAGAACCCCCCTCCTCTTGTTCCCTCCAGGATAGAGTAAGAGAGTGGGCCTCTCGCAGTCCCAGCACTGCCCTAACACAGCCACTTCCTCCTCTCCCCCAGGTCTCTGTCCTTGAGTCGGCCCTAGGATTAGACTAACTGTTCCCTTTGCACATGTCTGAGCAGCCTGAGAGGGGAATCCCTGACTGCTCTTGGCCCACTGAACTAGGGTGTGTACAAACTCGGCAGTGGAGGAACCTTGCCCACACCTTCCACCTCCTAGCGGCCTAGCCCGTTCAATCTAACCTTTCTGCACCCGGCAGAACTGATCAGAAACCCAGGATTCCTTCCTCCTTTTCTCAGGAGTGAGATGGACCCCCGGCCTAGATGGGCATTGCAGAATAGGGTAGCCAGGCTCTCAGCTGTGTATAGTCCTGCTGCCTCGCAGTCTCCCAGGCTTCCCCGGCCCTTGTCGGACACTTGTGACCGAGTTCTGAGCTCTGAACTGGTTGCTGGAGGTCGGGCAGAGCCAACAATTGTGGGTGGTTGTGCCTGGTTGCATGGCTGACACTGTGTCTGGAGCTTAAGAGAGTGAGCGGCTGGTTACGTGGCCATTCTAACTGAGAGGATCTTGTTGTCTTTGCTTCTAAGGGGCTCTTGGAAAGCCCCTATTTTTTGGAAACCCTGGGGTGTCAGCCAGATTATGAGTCAGTGGAGGTCTTTAGTGACTTAGTAGGACATTAGTGTTAATTGCTCAAGACACAACAATACCACACACCTTTGGACAGGTTATAAGTTTTATGTGCTTTCCTGTGTCTTAGGGAACTTCTCACTTACCCCCGCAAACTTCCAGACAAGCATCCAACTGACAACCCCTGCCCCCCCCCCCGCCCCCCACCACACATATATCACAGAATGGATCTCCACTGTAATGTCAGGTCCCCAGCCCAAAAACACCAAAGGAAAAAATTACAACTGAATAGTTTTCACCCATTCCCTCAGGAGACCAAGATTGGTTGTCTGGGGTTGGCTATTCGACTCTCTTGGGGTCAAAACTGGGGTTAGTTGCCCTAGGGCACGTGTTGTCAGGTGAGTAAGGTCCCAGGTCCTTTCTGTTAATGCATGAAAAACTGCTGAAGGAGGCCAGGGGCCGGTCGTGTGAGCCGAGGGGCTGCTTTGGGAGCGGATTTCCCGCTTTATCCCCCAAGCCCTGGCCAGTGTCCCTCTGGCTTCTTCAGCAATGCCATCTCTGCTTCCAGGGAGCCTGCGTGGGGTCTTCTTGTTCAGGAGGCTTCAGTGAGGGTGTGCAGGGAACTAGAAATAATGTTGTTGTAATACCTCTTAATCATTTAAAATCTCAAAACCATTTGACTGTTTGCTGAACTGGGGAGGAGCCAGAGAAGGTTTCTTAGATTTTCCCCTCCCCCAGACCTCCAGAGGCCCCCTCCCCCAGACCTCCAGAGGCCCCCTCCCCCTCTGTGGCAGCCCCCAAGTTGGTGCAGTGTGTTCTTTTTTAAAAAACTTTGATTGGTTGCTTTTTTTAATATAGAGAGAGGGAGAGACAGCCAGCCATTGACTTGTTGTTCCACCCATTCACTGATTGATTCTTGTATGTGCCCAGACCAGGGATCGAACCCAAAATACTGGTGCATCCAGACAAAGCTCCAACCAACTGAACCACCCAGCCAGGTCATTAAATGCGCTGTTAACGAGGTATTAATCAACACCCCTCAGGAAAAAATAAAAATTCTAATAGAAAATGCCTAGGATAGCCCTAACCAGTTTGGCTCAGTGGATTGAGCATCGACCTGCGACCTGCGGACTGAAAGGTCCCAGGTTCGATTCTGGTCAGGGGCATGTACCTTGGTTGAGGGCACATCCCCATTAGGGAGTGTGCAGGAAGCAGTTGATCGATGTTTCTCTCTCATCGATGTTTCTAACTCTCTATCCCTCTCCCTTCCTCTCTGTAAAAAATCAATAAAATACTTTTTTTTTTAAAAAGAAAGAAAAGAAAATGCCCAGGATAGCATGTTCCACAGGGCACCTTCCAGTGCCTCGCTCTGGTCTCCAGGGACTGCTTGAGCGAGAATTCTCTATCCACCTTCTGTGATCCCCCTCCCCAACCAACCCTGATACACACACACACACACACACACACACACTCCCTCACGTGATAGATGCCTCTGTAGCCCAGGGTCAAAGGGCACAAGGGTCTTCCCTCCAACCCCCCTCCGTTGTCCCGGGAGGCCCCAGGCCTGCCTGAGCCCAGATTCTGGCCCTGCTAGAGTATACTTCTTCTCCCAACCGAACAAAAGATACGGCTGAAATGCTCAGCCTCACGCTTCCTGGGGGGGTTAATGGTGTCTTTTTATTTTTTCCTGAGGGGTGTTGATTAATACCTCGTTAACAGCGCATTTAATGACCTCCGGGTGTTTAATAACCTTCAGAAGTTTCCCACAAAGGCTCAGACTCTGGGCAAGAAAATGAGAACCAGGCCCCAGGGCTGCTCCCCTTACCTT